TGTAAGCCCTGGATTTCAGGCTTTCGGGCTGAAACAGACACGGGGCCTGTAAGCCCTGGATTTCAGGCTTTCGGCCTGAAACAGACACGGGGCCTCTAAGCCCTGGATTTCAGGCTTTCGGCCTGAAGGACGCAGGGCCTGGAAAATGGCCCGAGTGTGCAGGCGCAGCATGCAACACCCCCCCCTCCTTATGAAGTCAAGTCGGGGCGAGGGCGAAGCTGACGATCTGAAGGTGGAACCAGGACGGGGGCGCGGCATGGAGCCGAAAAGACCGGCTTGCCTTGCATCTTACGTTCATAGCGTGCGAGAATGTCCGGAGCTGTTGCTTGGAGATCTACACGGGTCAACCAACGATCAGCTCGGTGGCTGCAGTATGCAAAATGGACCAGATATTCGGTCGGAAGGTTGCCGTAACGGCGCTGAGAGAGAATGCCGCTGACCTCTTGGAAACCATCCATAGAGGGTGGGTCTTGCGATCGTCGCCCGGGAAAATCGTCATGGTCTGCTGGCGTGTAGAGAGCCAGCTTGGAGGAATGGAAGATCGGGTTGACGGGCAAATGGGCGGGTACCTGAATGATGAAGGAAGGTCCTTCAGGTGCATCTCCACCGGGTGTTGTGATCGGCCAGGGCCCCATCCATTTCGGAAGGAGCTTGCGAGAGATGTCTTGTTCAAGGCTGAACTCTGCTGCGGAAACCCAAACAAGGTTACCGGCGCGGAACGGGCAAGGAAGACGCTGGCGATTGGCCTGCTGGCTCATGCGCTGCTGCGTCTTGGCCAGCTGGTCACGTGCCTTGACAAGAAGCTCTTGCATCCGACGCAAGAAAAGAAGATGGTCGTCGCTCTTGGCCGCTCGTGGAATGATGGTATCCAACGGAGAAGTGACCGGCGAGCCGTGCTCGAACTCGAAGGGCGACATCCCAATAGCCGGGTGGATGGAGGAGTTGTAGGCCAACTCGACATCCGGCAACCCTTCAACCCAATCCTTCTGGTCAGGACGGATGAGAGTGCGAAGGAGAACCTGTGCGGTCTGGTGCGCCCTCTCCGTCTGTCCATCGGTCTGGGGGTGGCGAGCTGAACTGGGCTTGAGAGATGAGCCCCATCGTTTGATGAGCGCCAACCAAAAATCGGACATGAACCGAGTGTCACGGTCGCAGACGATCTCCTTGGGGTAACCCTTGGTTCGAATCCAACCGGCGTACAAAACCTCAGCCAACTCTGGTGCCTTGGCATGATAGCGACAAGGCAAAAACATGGCAAACTTGGTGAGTCGATCGACCACCATGAAAATCCCATCCACACTGGTCTTGCGCTTGGGGAACGGCCCTGTGATGTCCATGGCAATCGCTTCCCTTCGGCGCAAGGGGACCGGTAATGGTCGCAACTCGCCGTACGGATGGTGATTGCGGGATTTGCAGCGTCCGCAACCTCGCATGACTCGCAATAGCGCGTGACGTCGCCGAGAAGGCCGGGCCACCAAAATCGCTCGCGAAGTCGGCCAATCGTGCGATTGACTCCAAAATGTCCGGTGGCGGGTGCATCGTGGAACTCGCCAAGAAGCCGTGTACGCAAGTGAGAATCACTCGGCACACAAAGAAGGTCCTTCCCGCGCGAGTGGACAAGCGAGTACCCCTCCTGGATCCGATAGTGAGAAGGCGCCGGATTAGGAGAGGAGCAATTCGCGTACTTGTCGCGAAATTCGGGGTCGGCTTGGTAGCCGCGGACGAAACTGTCCCGCAGGTCCTCGTCAATCTCAAAAGTCGCGTAGACCGCGGTGCAATGATCCGGACGCCGTGAAAGAGCATCCGCAAAACGGTTTGACTTCCCAGGGATGTGATCTGGAAAGAAGTCAAACTGGTCGATGAAAACCATCCAACGAGCGATGGTGCTGTTGACGGTGTCCTGGGTCTTGTAAAAGACCAACGGGTTGTTATCTGTCACCCATCGGGATTGACTTCGATCGAGGAGGAAGTGCCGCCACCGCTTGAGAGCGTGAACGAAGGCGAGGAGTTCCTTCTTGCGTGCATCATCAATGGAATGCACGGCGGACACTTTCTTGCTGAAGTACTCGACCGGGTGCCAGTCCACTCCATCGTGCTGCTCAAGGACTGCACCACTGCCATAACCGGACGCATCAGTAGTGACGCGTGTAGGCAACAGCGGGTCGTAGATACGCAAGACCTCTGCAGAGAGCAATGCGGCCTTGAGGGCCAGAAATGATTCCCGCGCATCCTCATCGAAGTCAAACGGTCGATCCTCGCATTGAAGCTTGGTCAAGTTAGCCGCGATTTTCGAGTCGCGCTTGATGAAGCGTTGGTAGTAGCCGGCAAGACCGAGAAACGAACGGATATGCGTGACGTTCCACAACTCCGGCCACTCCTGGATGGCCTGAATCTTGTCCGAAAGCGGACTGATGCCCTCGGGTGTGACAAAATGGCCCAGGTACTCAAGCTCTTGTCGGACGAATTCACACTTGTCCCGATTAGCTTTGTACTTGGCACAGTGGAGTGTCTCCAACGCACGTCGGAGATGCCCAAGATGATCCTCCAAGGTCCGGCTGTAGACGAGAATGTCATCTAGGTAGACCAGAACGAATCGGTCCAACATCGCACGAAACTCGTTGGTCATCGCCACCTGGAAGGTCGCCGGGGCGTTGGTGAGGCCAAAAGGCATGACCACCCACTCAAAATGCCCATACCGCGTCTTGAATGCGGATTTGTAACAGTCACTTGGGCGTATCGACAACTGATGATACCCCGACTTCAAGTCCAACTTGGAAAAGTACTTGGCACCGCCCAGCCGCTCCAGAAGATCGTCGATGCGAGGAAGAGGCCCCACATTCTTGACGGTTTGTGCGTTGAGCTTGCGGTAGTCGATACACAGACGTAGATCCTTGTTCTTCCTCCGAATGAAGAGAACAGGTGGTCCATATGGGGAGCTGCTAGGGCGGATCCAGCCCTTGGCCAACAAATCGTCGAGTTGTGCGCGGAGGACCTCAAGCTCCTCCTCGCTCATGCGATAGATGCAACCTTTCGGTGGCACGGCACCGGCCTCAAGAATGATCTCGTGAGAGATCGGCCGATCTGGCACCACACCGGTAGGTGTCTCGAAGATGTCGGCAAACTCGTCCAGCAACCGTACCACACGGGGGTCCGAAGACAAGTCCGTGGGTGAAGAGTCGGCTACCGCGACGGTCCGTAGGAAGCATAGGCCCATTTCCTCGGGCTGCTCGTAAGCGCAAGTCGCCCGGAATGATTTGGCCGTCACCACTTGGCACCGGATCGAAGGGTGCGGAAGAGGAATAGTACACGGTACTTCGGCGCCGAAAGCGTCGCGAACAGTGAGAGTCCGCTGATGGAAGTTGACCGTGTGATACGCACTTGCAAGCCAAGGCATTCCCAGAATAATGTCGAAGTCCGTGTCCAATATATCAAATGTCACCGGCTCGCATGCATGAGGTGCGAAGTACAACGGTACAACTTCGATGTAACGGTCGAGAAGTTGCTGCATCTTACCATCCGCCAACTTGATCGCCGTCGGGTTTGCCTTCCTCCGAACTTGTGCGCCAAGGCCAGCCCTTTGCATAAAGGATTGGCTCATGAAGTTGCGAGACGCGCCGCTATCCAACAAAGCGTTGCAGGACGTTTGTCCAACCTGGATGCGGACATACATCAGTGGTGCATTGTTGTCATCGTACCGCTGTGTGCGAAACTCGTGGGCCACCTTGGTAACGTACGCCAAGATGTCCCCCACCGCGACTTCGTCATCCGCCGTCGAAGTTGGTGGTGCATAGAAGAAACCGGTTGTGCTTCGGAATGAAGGCCGGTTACTCGCCGTCGGAATGAATGCGCACTGCGGTCCCGGCAAGCAGCCCGTGGTCGGGAGAGGAAGCCATGCGAAATCCTCAGACGTGAGCGGGTCCAATACCTCTATGTTGAACTCGCGCGCTGAATCCCGTGAAGAACCACCTGAAGACGATGATGAACTGTCGTCGGACGGAGAAGAAGCCGCACATACGTCTTGTCCTTGAGCGAAGGTACCCAGCGCAGGAACGAGTCGGGCAGCATAGTCCTCGAAAGAATACAAGAGAGGAGGACTATCGACTTCCGCCTGTGCTTCGGAATGAAGGCCGGTTACTCGCGAAGAAACCGGTTCCGAAGACGTTAAGAGTCTCGTCGAATCACTTTTGGCGGTGCTCAGTTTCCCTATCTTCCCTTGCCTTTCAATGGACAGGCGACTGTCTCGTGGAGGTCGCTGTTGCACCAGAGGCAATAACGGTACTTCGTGCGTTGCTTGTATGCAAGCTCCGAGAGACCATATTGGGACCATGGGGCGTGGGCTGCTGTACCGGGCCCGAGGATAATAGTGGTGTTTGTGTTCCCTTTGCCGCGTCCTCGGCCTCTGCCGGCGCGGCCACCATCCCGGGCGGCTGCGAGTCTATCTCCTTCACTGGCAGACACGGCCTCACTGTAAAATTGGTCAGGTGGCATTGTCGCCGCCACCACGGCCACCTTGGGCTGATGCTGGTCCCTGCTCGGGCCCGCCGCAGACGAACGACCGAGGTTCTTGGCCTCCTTGTTCGTGACAATGATCTGCGCGACCTTGTCGAAAAGCTCTGTCGTCGTTGTCAATGTCTCGTCAACATGAGTCAACGCATTGCTTAACGTCGGGCATGATCTCGAGATGAAGTTATGCTTGATGGCTTGGAAGCCCATCTGCAGATCCGGGACGGATGTCAAGCGCTGGTACTCGGCTATCCAGTCGACACTCGACAGCGTGCTCTGCTCGAAGGTGAGCAGTTTGTCCATGGCCTTGATCTCTGGCGGCTCCACCTAGAACCGCTTGTGCCTTGCTGCCTTGAGGTCTTCCCAACTGATCTTTGTATGCAGGTCTGCAGCGACCGAGAGAAGGTTAACAACAGTCGTATTTTTCGTCACCACTTCAGGACACCCTTCACCACTTGAAGATGCAGCCTGCCTAAACATGTGGTTTTCGTGGTCTTCGGACATGTCACCACTTCAGGACCATTCAGGTCTGAAAATCCTGACTGGTCCTGAAGTGGTGAAAGCTCCGAAGACCCTGAAAACCACCTGTTTAGGCAGGCTCCATCCTCAAGTGGTGAAGGGTGGTTTTCATGGTCTTCGGACCTTTCACCACTTCATGACCATTGAGTATTTTCAGACTGCCCAAAACTCTCACTTGACCAYTTYAGGACACCCTTCACCACTTCAGGATGCAGCCTGCCTAAACAGGTGGTTTTCAGGGTCTTCGGACCTTTCACCACTTCAGGACCATTCAGGATTTTCAGACTGCCCAAAACTCCCACTTCAGAATTTTCATTCCTGAATTTTCAGCTACTCGATAACCTCTTGTGCATCGACCACGCCGTACTTGGACAACAGATTGTCCAGCCATGCCTGGCATGCCCCCCTGACCGGGAGTACAAGTACGCGTGGTTCTTATGTTCGCTGACGTAATGAAGCTGCAGCGTCAGTTCGAACCTGCGAAACCATTGAATTGGGTCCGTCTTGGACGAGTCAAGGAAGATTGTCTGGCCGTCCCACTTTGGAGTTGACTCACGTTCTGAGGAACTTGGATGGGCGGCAGCAGTGCATATCCGCTTCTCCAAATGCTGGGTGGCGGTGTGCTGTAGCTACATGCCATCCTTGACTGTCCCCATGTCGATCTCCAAGGCATTGAGACGATCAGACATGTTGGAGGTGCCGGCGGCGGGGGCGGCAACTGTCCGTTGTAGCTGCTCGAAGCGGCTGTTGAGGTCATCCAATGCCCGTTTGTGATTCTGAGCCAACGCATCGAGGCTATGGATGTCCTCCTGCTGTGCAACGCACCTGGCCAGGAGGTCTGTAAGATGGGATAGGAGGAGAGCGATCTTGCTTTCGCTCTCCGCCATCTTCCCTGTCTCAGCCTCAGTCCGCCAATCCGCGGCCATTGCGAGCAAGGCTCGCTCTCCCTGAAAATCTTCTCTCGCCACCGTATTCTCTCTTCATCGGCAGCCTTAGCTGTTGCCTCGGCCTGCAGGCGCTGTTGTTCTACTGCCAACAGACGTGCCTACTCGGCCCCCTCTGCCTTCTTCCTTGCTGCGGCAGCGGCCGCCTCCGAGCGTTGCTTAACCTCGGTCATCATGGCCAGCAACCGGACCTGATAGTCCTCATCCGTTTCTCCTGGCTTCTGGTCCACGGCGGCGGTTTACGAGCGCGTGAGCATGAACTAGACCGGAGAGCTGCTGACGTGGCACCAACTTACCAATGCCACAGTAGTGGTACCCGGATGAGGAAGAAGAAGGTAAGATCAGAGGTGGCAACAACATAGGTGGGGAGGGGTGGCTGGGATGAATCGCCCAGATAAGGAGC